CACCTCCCGCCGCCCTCTGGCCCAGGCGCCGGCCCCCGCGCCCGGAGCGGCTGCCGCGTTTCGCTCTCGGGAAACAGTACATCGCGCTCAAGCGGGCCTACGTGTCCCCCCGGGCGTGGTGTCACTTCCCACGGTTGCAGCTACCCGCAGCCATAGAATATTCAACGGGAAACCCCAGAAATAAGCGGTTCATAAGTTAGATTGCGCGCTGGTCTGAGTGGCGCGATGAAAGCCCTGGACACCCCGCTCCGTGCAGCAGGCAGGAGAGCGGCCCTTGTGCGGCGCCCGCTGGTCACTCAGCCCGCTGGTGTCAGGTCGGCCGCCGCGTGTGGCACAGCTCGTGTTCAAGTCGCCCTTGCTTTCCTTAATGACAGTGCTAGAGCTCAGGTGTGGTGATGCCGGCCATCCGGACATGCCACAGAGAAGCCGCAGTGTGCTTCCTGTAAGGGACCAGATGTGTCTGTGTGGGACACCAGCTCCCCCGCGCTCCCATTCGGGTGTGCAGAGGGCTTGGCTGGCCGAGAGGCGAGGAGGGCCCCTGGGGCTGGTCTGGGGCCTTGGCCTGAAAATGAAAATGGTAGAAAGAAAGCAAATGTGAAATTAGCATTTACATACATGTGCCCCTTGGACCATGACAAAATATGCGTTCGTCACCCTTAAACTGAGTAGTCACGAGGACATAATTTTCTGGAACAAAGTTCACAGGTGGATTTTTCGACTTTGCCCAAAACCCTTGAGATGCTTAATGACTGTCCAGCCGTCCTGGTTGATGCTGGTGAGTGAGTCATTTGTAAACAAGTAATTTTAAAAAACTAATTTATAAAATCTCTCAATTTTTACAGCAAAATTTCTTGCATTTTTTTCTGGGATGGTGCATTTTAATAATCTTGAGATGATGTCAGAGGAGCCGGGGCACCTTGCCCCCCAGGCAGGCCCCCAGCCCGGAGGGCCATGCTCCTTCCCCTCTGGGCTCACAGCTGGCCGCTGGGCAGCGCTGCGTGGCCTCTGGTCACTGCCCGAGGCAGCCTTTGCTGCACAGACGCGTTTCCAGAGTTTGTATCCTGTTTCGCTCACATTCTTGTCTCTAAATACAGTGAGTCCTCACTTAACATCGGCGTAGGTTCTTGGAAACTGTCAGCAACTTTAAGCAAATCAATGTATAACGAAACCAGTTTGACCCCTAGGCTAATCGATGAAAACAAGAGTTCAGTTCCTATGGCATATTTCTGGTGACCAGAACATCACCAAACTTAGACCAAAAATACTTCTAATATTAAACACTGAAATAAATGTGGGCCATACGTATGCTTAAGAAAAAATGAACAAAAACAAGATTATCTTCCAGCCTGTTGACCCCAGTTCAGGGCTTAGGGTGGCCGGAGCCTCTCCCAGCAGCTCAGGGTGCAGCGGGGACCCACCCTGGACAGGATGCCCACTCAGGGCCACTCACATCTATAGTCAGACGGTACAGTGGAGACATGCCATTCACCTCCATGCACATGTGGGACGTGGGGCGACCCACGTGGACCTGGGAGAAGATGTGCACCCCGCACAGCCCGCGGCCCCAG